TGGTCTCCTCAGACACACAGGTCCAGTCAGCTTTCTCTAATAAGGAGTCAATCCAAAAGGAGGTAAAAGCCACCCTGTCACAGAAAGCTGTTCTAAGCTGTGAGGTATTTGATAACAAGACAGAAGTGAAGTGGTACAAGGATGCCAAGCTGCTGAGTTCCAGCAGGACAATCCATACTGAATCAAAGGGCAAGAATCGCCAGCTGGTGATTGACAGTGTGGAGAAGAAGGATGCTGGAGAGTACATCTGTGAGGCTGGGACTGAAAAGCTGGCCTTTAAGATACATGTGCAAGGTATGCCTCTATGGATGTCACACTTATAATAATATAGTGTAACGTGTAAAACATATTTTAGATCGTTTAATGCAAAGGCTTCTTCACAAAAAAGTGTTTTTGTGTTTGCATTGAATACATTGTTGGTTGCTTCAGTTGTGGGATGTAGTATTTGGTTTAATTTGATAAAAAATTGTTGCAGCCTTTGAGTAGAAAATTGAGTTATGTTGTTCAAATGACCTGCTGAGCTCCATGTTTTGGTCTCTGGTTACAAGATCTGGTATCTTTAGCTGGTTATTTGCCAGGTTCTGGTTATCTGAGTTATCGTGCATTTGCTGTGCGTTTTTGTGTGCTTTCAGTTGAACTGTTGTTTTTGTACAGGTAATTGTACTGTCACCGTACTCCATTATAGTTGATAACAAGACAGAGGCGGAATGGTAAAAAGATGACAAGCTGCCAAATCCCAGCAAAGCAGATCACATGGATTCAAAGGGCAGGATTACTTAAATGGTGATTGACAATGTAGAGAAGAAAGATGCTGGAGGTTATATGTGAAAAGCAAGTGAAAATTGGGGATGTAACATACAGGTTAAGTGTTTTAACACCTAAAAGAGAAGTACATGCAAATTATATAACAAAAACTATGTAATAGTTATTGTCATTACTGTTATTTTAGTAACTATTAAAAGTGAATATTACAGTAACTCACTGACTCCTGAATCATCAAGCATCATACATCAATGTTGAATTTATAGAAAAAACTGTTGCAAGACAGATGATTGTCTAGGCTCTTTGTGTTGCTCTGAGTGGAGATGAGCTGAAGGTGGTGGGCACTAAGTTTGGAGCTTTCAGGTGGGGCATTGTAAAGACGTTGTAAGAAAAAGGAGAGTACTGGAACACAAAGCAAAAACATGACAATAATCATGCTCTTATAATAATCTTTGGTTGTGAAAATTGTAATTTAGACATTATAGTCAATCAGCTGATCTGACTCGTCATTTACATAGATTTATACATTTATAGAGATTTTTTAAAATACTTTATGAAATCTTTGTTTAGGTTGATTTTCCTGACACCTGAATTGAGTAAAACTGGAACAGAAACTCAATGAAAGATTTAGAAATTTTTGTTTTTGGTTTGGTGGAATTGCAGATGTTTTCACATATTTGCATATTTTGTGGTCACGTTAGATTTTAGCTGTTAAATATTGTTCCCTGGTTTTGGCTTTGCTATGTATTTATCCACTTTGTTGCTATGAAAATTAATTTTTTTAGGTTATATTTATCTCACATCACACTTAAACTTGCTACATTGCCATGACATTAATCACTGTTATTTCTGCAGAGATCCAAGTGAAGTCTGCCTTCTCCAGCAAAGAGTCTATCCAAAAGGAGGTGAAAGCTACTCTCTCTCAGAAAGCCACTCTCACCTGTGAGGTATCTGATATCAATACAGAGGTAAAATGGTACAGGGATGGCAAGCTTCTGACCACCAGCAAGACAGTTCGTGTAGAGTCAAAAGGCAGGAGTCGGCAGCTGGTGATCAACAGTGTGGATAAGAAGGATGCTGGGGAGTACATCTGTGAGGCTGGGACTGAGAAGCTGCCCTTTAAGATACAGGTGTTAGGTAAGCTCAATAAGTTGTCTCTAGTACTTTCCTACTGTATGTCAATGAGCTTTAAAATAGTGTTGGTGTGTAGTATTTCTGCCAGATTGCCTCGTTTGTATCCAGTAAGTTGAGTCATAGTTGCTTAAAGTTTTTTTGCATTTCATATTGATTGATGTTTTGGGTTTTTTTGTCCATTTGCTGGTCAGAAGCCCCAGCTGGCTTCTCTAACATGGAGTCAGTCCAGAAGGAAGTGAAAACATATCTCTCACAGAGAGCCACGCTTAGTTGTGAGGTTTCAGATTCCAAGACAGAGGTAAAGTGGTACAAGGATGGCAAGCTGCTGACTTCCAGCAAAGGAGCCCACATGGAGTCTAAGGGCAAAACACGTGAGCTGGTGATAGAAAAAGTGGAGAAAAAGGATGCTGGAGAATATACGTGTGAGGCTGGAACAGAGAAGCTGGTATTTAAGTTGCAGCTAACAGGTAAATTTATTTTAAATATAACATGTTGCCAATGGATTACCACTTATTTGTACAAAGTACTGAAAATAAGTTCTTCTTTCTAGATTTAGCCATAAAGTTCCAGAAGAAATCTGTCAAGGACACATGCGTGGTTCAAACAAGTGAAAGCATTGTTTTATCCACTGAACTGACCGCAGAGGGCGGTAGTGTGAGATGGTTTAGAGATGGCATGGAGCTCAAGGAGAGCAGCAAGTATGAAATGAAAAAAGAGGGCCTTTCTCATACCCTGATAGTGAAATCTGCAGAAATGAAAGACAGTGGAACGTACTCTTGTCAAACTGCGGATGATAAACTGGAGTTCAAAGTTCAAGTTAAAGGCAGGTCATAGAAAAGTCTTAAATACAACTCTCATGCATCTGCAGATGCAAGATTTTTCTTTGAACTTTTCCCTCTCATGCTTTCTTCTCAGATTCAGCTTTGAAGTTTGTTCTCCCTTTGAAACCTGCCACAGTGGAACTGGGAGGTACACTAAGCCTGATTTGCGAACTAAATCAAGCTTTAGGGGATGCTGTATGGCACCATAATGGCCGTGAGATTAAACCTGGAGGCAGGTTCTGTGTCCGAGCAGATGGTGCTAGGCGAATTCTCACTGTGACTGGCATGACCAAGGAAGATGAAGGAGAATACAGCTGTGAATGTAGAAATGACAAGACATCTGCTAAAGTCTCCTCTAAAGGTAATTAACTAGTTTAACTAAAAAAACGTCTTTCCAGGATGGAAGCCTTTTCTTTTATATAATTATGCTTTATTCCTTTCAGCACCAAGATTAGTGAGGTTGGTCACCAAACTGAACAACGTGGTTGCAACGGAGCGAAAAGATGCCGTTTTCAAGTGTGCCGTCAGCCCAGCAGACGTCAGCGTCAGATGGTTCCACAACAGTATCCCCATCGTTTCTGGGCAGAAGTATAAGCTTGAGCAAGGTGGTGGCAGCCACTCACTTACCATCACCTCAGTCACTCAGAAAGATGCAGGAGAGATAAGTGTTGATGCAGAAGGCAAAAGCTGCAAAGCTACTCTACAAGTGCAACGTAAGATAATAATGGGAATTATTGTTTAACTGTTTATATAAATGAACACATACTTCCATCTAACATTCTTTGTGTCCCTTCCAGATGAACCTGTGACTTTCAAGAAAAAGCTAGAAAACCTGACAGTGGAGGAGCAAAGCGAAGTGAGGATGGAAGTGGAGCTCAGTAAGGCATCGGATGAAGTCAGGTGGATGAAGAACAGTGTAGTGCTGCAACCTGCAGGAAACATGGAGATTCGGGTAGAGGGAGCTAAGCAGGCTCTGGTCTTCAAGAGTGTGACTTATGCTGACCGTGGCATCTACTCTTGCGAAACTCTGGATGATAAGACCCAGGCCAAGCTCAGCGTGGAGAGTAAGACTCATCAAGATTAATGTTTTAAATACAGAATATGATGTGCATATCATACAAGAAGAAGAATGTCATTGTCATGGCGCTTGTTATCACAAAATCAGTCCTACGTGTTAACACTCTTTTCCTTTTCCCTTCAGTGAAGAAGATCCAGGTAATAAAGGGTCTAACAGAAACCAAGGCACGTGAAACAGAGACAGTAACACTTGAGGTAGAACTCAGTCAGGTCAATGTTGAAGGCTCCTGGAACAGAGACAGGGTCAAATTAAAGTCAGGGCCAAACTGCCATATCACAGCTCTGGGAAAGAAGCACATCCTGACGTTGTCCAGTCTCAAGCAGGAGGATGCAGGAATGATTTCCTTCCAGGCAGAGGGAGTGCATACTTCAGCTAAACTGATCGTCACAGGTAACGGTGGGCTCATGTTTGTCCTGATGAGGTCTAGGTTTCCTAAAAAAAATCCAGTCTAAAAAAAGTCTAATGTGCTGATTCTACAGAAGCTCCTGCTATGATCTCCAAACCTATTATGGATATGAGTGTTCCTGAGAAGGAGAAGGTTACGTTTGAATGTGAAGTGTCCAGACCGAATGCAGATGTTAGATGGTTCAAGGTGAGAAATTATTACTGTCTGCTGATTTAAATGTGTGCAGTACACATGTAACATTTTGAATAACACCGAATCTGCAGGATGAGGTGGAACTAAAACCGGGAAAGAACTTTGCTATTCATTCATTGGGCCAAAAGCGCACTTTGGCCATCAACAAATGCTCCCCTGAAGATGGAGGCACGTACATCTGCCGTACTACTGATGATAACACCTCCGCCAAGCTCACTGTTCATGGTAATTACTAATTATGCAACAAAGTAAGGAAATCAGTAAGGTACAATTAATCTAGGTTCATTAAAGTTTTCTGTACTTGGCCTCTTTTTCCTGCAGCCAGAGATATCAAGATCATCAAGAAGCTGGAAGATTTGGAGGTAATGGAGAAGGAGAGTGCTAAATTTGTCTGTGAAATCTCACACGATGAAGTGGAGTGCCAGTGGTACAAAGGAAACACAAAACTCAAAGCCACTGACAACATAAAGATGAGGCAAGAGGGTAAGGCCTCAAGAAATTGGAAAACCATTTTAATTAAGCTAAGCATGTAGTGCTACAGGATTTGCCTTAATGAAGATTGGGAATAATAAGGATGTTTTCACGATGATGTCTGTTTCTAATTCCAGGCAGAACTTATGTGCTGCTTTTCAAGTCTGCTACCCCAGAAGATATGGGTGAAATTAAGTTTACAGCTGAGAAAGCATCTTCAACTGCTAAACTTAAAGTGAAAGGTAAACGAATATGTGTTCTGTGCATTAAAATCACATAACACTGAATGCATGGTTGCATGGTAATAGCTTATCAGTCCAATGCTGTTACACACCGCGATGTTCAGTGTGGCTGCAAATGGATTATTTCTTCTCACTGTGTTAAGAGCTCTTAGAAAATTGCAAACAATAAAACACACGTTTAAATTTGATGAACAGCTTGACTTCTGTTAGTCGGTTATTCTCCCAGAATGCGTCCACATCATTTACTGATACAAACAATAAAACTTGAGGAAGTATCATTCTAAGAGAGTCACCACCTTGTGCCATTCTGCATATATTTATTCTTTATATTGGTAAGATATAAAATCCATTTGCAACTTCACATTCACATTGTCACTCCTCATTGAAGCTTGATGGCAAAATGAGCACTCAACAACAGCACAGCTTTACAGTTTTATAATTTTATTCCAGAGGAAAAGCATTCTTTTCGTTTTTAATGTGTGATGGCTTATGAAGATTGGATCTCAAAATCTCCAGCAGTACAAGAATGTGATTTAATTGTGAAACAGATTACTTGTACCCACAATGCAGTATTGTTTCACCAGTGTTTTAGTCTATTGCTATGTGATTTCTTGGCAACATGCTGGCACAATAATATATGTTTTGTGGTTATAAATTAGATATTGTTAGGGCAGCACAGTGGAGCAGTTCACGGCACGAAGGTCCTGGGTTTGAATCCACCACCTGGCCGTGGGCTTTCTGTGTGGAGTTTGCATGCTCTCTGTGTGGCTTCCTCCCACAGTTCAAAGACATGCAGTTGGTGGGATTGGGTTAACTGGTGATTCTAAAGTGCCCACAGGTGTGAATGGTTGTCCATCTCTCCGTGTTAGCCCCGGGACAAACCTACAGGATAGCCTCCTGCCCTATGACACCTATGATAGGCTCCAGCCTAGGCAACATTATGACATCAACAATATGTGGTGTAGATAAGACTTCAGGGGCCTAAGATGCATTTGTGCCAATTTTTTTTGATCGATTGTGAAGGAGGATTTTGTAGGCAAACAAACAGATTTTGTGTGTTATAGTAAGATGTACGGTAGCCCTGAGAGGCCAAACAGACTGCAACTTAAGAAAACACCAGCAATAAGAAAAATGCTGCAAAAGCACGGAAATAGGAAAAACGACAAAGGAAATAGGAAAAAACAGATTTCCAAAAGCACAAGGAAAGTGTTTCTGGGGAGACAATAACCCGACGGACCACTTGTAGGAACCAAAATATGCTAAGAATTGCGCTGGGAGACACTTAAAAGATGTGGAGGATCTATCGATTTTGTGAGGAAACAAAAGATGAAAGGTAAGTGTGTTAGCCTGACTATTAGCCTAAAAATCTGTCATCAGTATTATATGAATCATGATAAAGCACACCTACAATGTTTTGGGTTCCTGCAACTGGTCCGTCGGGTTATTGTCTCCCCAGAAACACTTCCCTTGTGTTTTTTCCTATTTCCGTTGTCGTTTTTCCTATTTCTGTTTTGTTTTTTCCTATTTCCGTTGTCGTTTTTCCTATTTCTGTTTTGTTTTTTCCTATTTCCGTTGTCGTTTTCCTATTTCTGTTTTGTTTTTTCCTATTTCCGTTGTTGTTTTTCCTATTTCCGTTGTTGTTTTTCCTATTTCCGTTGCTGTTTTTCCTATTTCCGTTGTGTTTTGTGTGCTTTTGCAGCGTTTTTGTTATTGCTGGTGTTTTCTTAAGTTGCGGTCCGTTTGGTGTCTCACGGCCACCATAAAGATAAGATATTTAGTGCATCTGATTTCTATTAGTATGAAAAGATCATTTGATCCTGAAAGAGAATAGCTGTCTAGTTTTGTATGAGTTGCTGTAACTTGCATATATGGGCTAATTTTATGTTAGTGCCATTATATACTCTTTCTTTTTTCTTTAGCTTTTGCAAAACATGTTATATTTCAATGCAAGCATTAATATATCATCAAAAGCATTAATATGCAATACAATTCATATACCATCTGAAATTACTTTAACTTATGCATAGACACCGGCAAACCCTTTGCAGCACACATAATAGTTTTCATTGATTAAGTGTTATTGTTACTGTAGAGCTGCCTGTGAAGTTTGTGAAGCGACTCAGGGATAAGATAGCGATGTATAAGCATCGTGGTCATCTTGAATGCCAAGTGTCACGTGCCAGCGCAAAGGTGAAGTGGTACAAGAACAAGACGGAGATCAAACCCAGCAAGAAGTACGAGATCAAAAGCGAAGACCTGTACCGAAAGCTCACCGTTAATGATGTGGACTCTGGGGATGAAGACACGTATACCTGTGATGCCACTGATGACAAGACATCCTGTAAACTGCTTGTGGAAGGTAAAACAGTGGATTGTGACAATAGTTCATTTTAAACTTACTGCCACTGTAAATATAAATACTTTCTCATTATATCCTCAGAAAACAAGCCATCAGTGTCCAATTCAATGAGGTGTATGCCAATCTGAAATAGTGTACTAATGGGAAATATGTGTATAATAGGTTGTTAATATGTTATCTCTCAGTTGTTCTATAACAAGCCTGACCTACTAAATTAATTAACATTGAGGTTGAAATTTTAAGATTTTTCTTAATCTAAATGAGTAACTAAATTTTAGTGCAACCTGTTTTTAGTTTTGCTGATGTGTTGAAGTTTTATGTTGGGAATTTTCTGTTATTACAGAAAAAAGGCCTTTGTGCATGTACCACCGTGTGGTATGAAGTCACAGGACGACTTCATACATTGTATGAAGATGCGTTGCTCTGGATAAATGAAAGTCTTATGCTTAAATACAGTTATTTTGCATATGATGTGTGGTGTTTCCATCCTATAAAGCAAGATTTATAATTCCGAACCCATTGCTAATAGTTGGTAGCGATAATAGTTGCATACAGCCTTAAAAAAATAAATCCCTTATATGAGCTATACCATTAAAAATTCACATATCAACTTCATTAAATATGGGCAAGCATATAAGCAGTCATATGTGTAAGGTCATTAAACTGTCATATCATATATGAATATCATTGATGAATGTTTACACATGCTAATAGATCATCCAGACGGTTGTGCATATTTTAGCAAGTCAAGTAAACAATGTGTAGGGCTAGACCAATAAATCCTAACGGTGAATACATCAGAAAGCATCACGACAACATACTATAAACAAATCGTGTCTGGGGAGAATATTGATGAAGTTATATATTTGCACATCAAACATATCTCTCAATGTGAAGTTTAAAAAATAAACAAGCAATAAAACAGTACAAATCTGAGGGATCCCTATCAAGATTGTTTGCTTATATTTTGTTTTGACCTTTGAACTCTCAGATATCCTTATCAACCTTAAATTCCATCAATCTAAAGCTACACTTGTTAAGTGTGGCCTCAGGGTTGGCCTCAATTTTTAGTTCATTGAACATTAACTACAAATTTAAGCAATGAGATAATCTTAATATAAAAAAGAAGCACAATTTCAACAGTATGTCTCAGTTTTTCTACATGATATAGACATGCTGTTGTAGTAAATGAAATAAATCTGTCAGCACGACTCTTTGGGCTTAAAATTGTAAGTAAATGTGTAACATTACATAATTTCTATTGTTTAATTACTTTGTTGCCATCAGGGAGGTCTTTGTCAACTGGAAATACTGTAAAACATACATACAATCCTTCTTTACATTTTCCAATGTTAAACAACGGGCTGGATTGGAGTCTTCGCCGTGCTGATTCTGGCCCCTGGACTTTATGTTTGACACCCCCGCTTTAGTTCTTGTAAAATGACTTTCATGCAAAAAATGGATGTCATTTCTTAATCCCTGGGAAAGAATGTGAAGTATTTGCAGTTGATGAATTCTTTTCACTGATCCATTCTCTTTTTATGATCCCTCCAGAGCAGTCCATCAGCATAGTGCGGGAACTTAGTCCAGTAGAAGTCACAGAACCCTTTGCAGCTGTTTTTGAAGTGGAAATCAGTATGGAACTGGTGAAACCTCCTGTATGGACTTTGAATGGAGTTGCTCTGCAGGAGGGGCCTGATGTCGAAATGGAGAAAGAAGGCACGATGCACCGTCTCACTTTCAAAAAGACTAAAGCATCAATGACGGGAGCTGTACAGTTTACAGCTGGGAAGAGCAAATCTTTAGCCCAGCTCACAGTTAAAGGTAAAAGTTTTCAGTGTTGTGTTCACACAGAAAATTCTGTATGTATACACAGAAAACTTCCATTAGATTTGAGCTGAGTCTAATCAGTCATTGTTGCTCACATTCAGAGCGCCCTCTTGAGATTGCAGAAGCCATTAAAGATGTTAAGGCGAAGGAGAAAAGTTCAGCCATACTCAGCTGCAAGTTCTCTGCTCCACCCAAAGAGGTTAACTGGTTCAAAGGTCGAGTACCTCTGGCAGCTTCAGACAAGTACAACATCAAGCAAGATGGTACACGTGCCCAAATTACCATTCACAGGCTGACTGAGGAGGACAGTGGAGAGTACCGCTGTCAGTCTGGACCTGCTGAGACCAAAGGCACACTTACTGTTGAAGGTACGTTTTCCAACTTTAAATTGTCAAAAGACTGTGTTTAAAATATGGATGAAGCCACTGTGACATCAGCCACCTATTAGTTCCCCATTGTGAAGCCTCGAGCTCAGTGTTTTCACTATCACCATCCATTTTGGTTCCTTGAAACCAGATGTGAGAATCTGACTGAGAAACCGAGGACATTGCACGCTCTTTGGCTAAAGATTTCCAATAATAGTTAATATTGATATTAGTGTCATTCTAATATCATTCTCAAAAGACTTTTATCCAAGCAGAAGTCTCTTTGCAACCAATAAAATAAATGCAGCACTTCCACGTTTGCTTTTTATTTCAGATCGAGAAGCTACGTCCATCTTTTATACAGTCTGTTTGAATATCACAGAGTTCCCCTAGCATAAACAACTGATTTGAAATATTTTGTGATTTCTTTTCAAATTGAATCTGCTGTCCCGATTCATCTGCCTAGTGCGTGAAATCAAAATCACCAAGCACTTGGCCAATACAGAAGTCGATGAAGACAGCGATGCGGTATTCACCTGTGAGATTAACTACGCTGATGAAGAAGCTCAGTGGCTTCTGAATGACAAGGTGCTCTTCACAAATGAAGTTAACACCATCGCTCATGAGGGGAAGGTTCACAAGCTGACACTGAAGAACCTGGCACCTCAAGATGGAGGAACAATCACCTTTCAAGTCCGCAAGGTCAAAGAGTCTGTCAAACTCAAGGTTAAAGGTGAGAGCATTAAATACAGTTCCAGAGTTATTTGATATTTCACAAATGAGGCTTTTATTTATCCCTCAATCACTGTTTTACTTTCTGCAGAGAAGCGCGCTGTGTTCCTCAAGTCACTAGACGATGTTATTGGAGAAGAGAAAGGCATGATCACTCTGGCGTGTGAGGCATCCAAGCCAAGAGTTTCCCCCACATGGAGAAAAGAGGGTAAAGTCTTAAAAGCTGGGCCAAAATATGAGCTCCTTCACACAGGCAAGTCTTTGGGCCTGATCATCAAGGATGCCACCAAAGATGATGCTGGGGAGTACAGCTGTGACCTTGGCACTGAGGTATCCAAGGCAAAGGTTACGGTCAGAGGTGTGTTTTTCTATCATTTTGTATATTTATTTGTACACACTGCTTTTCATATATACAGTTAACTTATACACAATTTGGTTTCTATCATAGAAATTGGTATTGGAATAACTAAATGGCTGAAATCAGTTGAAGTGAATGAGGGAGATACATGCAGCTTTGAGTGCATCCTGTCTCGTGAGAGCACAGATGAGTGCTCCTGGACTGTCAATGGCCAAGCTGTTACAAACAGAGGCCGCTTTAGCATCTCCACCAAAGGACGCAAATACATGCTCACTATTAAAGATGTCTCCCCTGCTGATGCTGGTGAGGTAGTGTTCAGTATCAAAGACTTGAGCTCCAAAGCAACATTGACAGTTGAAGGTAAGCTTGATATCAGTCTTTAAGAGGCTTTGGCAATGATTCAAATCATAAAATAAACATTTGTCCTCTTATGTTGCAGGTAAAGCTTCATCTGTATCAAAAGGACTGCAGAATATTTGTGTCATTCAAGGGGAAGATGCTGTTTTTACTTGTGAGGTGACACAGGCTAGTTTTGCTGTAAAGTGGGCCAAGGATGGTAAAGCCATCAAAAAGAGCCAGAAATATGAGCTCAGCCAGCAAGATAGAGTCATGAAACTGACCATCCATAATGTGTCTGCTCAAGACTCTGGAGAGTACAGCTGTGAAGTTATTGGAGGTGCAACCACCAGAGCTAAGCTAGAAATCAAGGGTAAGACTCTAAGAAAACTCAAAAATTGCCTTGGTCTAATTTTACAGTTCAGCTTTGATGGGATACGATTATTCTACGTTGTTTTTCGATTTTCCACACACAAGCAAATAAACACCACACACATATGTAAAGTAACACAAAGGTGCTTGTGGGTCAGTCCTTCTGGAGGCAGCACCTAGTGGTGGTTTTTATACTAGCTGGCAAGAGGACCTTTAAAAAGTATTTGTGTTGATGATTTAATTCATCTGGAAAACATCCCTGTTAAAGGTATGTAAAGATAAAATGACAATTGTATTTATATAGCACATTTCATTACATGAAAACTTAATCTGTTTAACGCAGAAAATCATTCTACATTTTCTCCAGTATGCCAGCTCAGGTGTGTATAGGTGCAGGAATTAGTAATGATATTCCAAGTTGAAATATTTGCTAGACATAGAATATGTTCTGGAGTCTTTTAAAAAAACAACAACTATTAGTGCCGTAATTTCATTCTGTGGCAAACATTGTCACAGCGAAGTTTCCTTTTTGCAGAGCCAATCCATAAATTCACTAAAACGCTAAAGGACAGTGAAGCAGACGAGAAGGGCTCCGTGACTCTGCAATGCACGACGGAACAAATCCCATCCACGGTTGTATGGCTTAAAGGTCACACAGAGCTCAAGGCTGGAGGGCGATATGAGATGTCTCAGAAAGATGGCGTCTTAACTCTCATGATCAAACAACTGGAGGAGAACGATACTGATATCTACACTTGTGACGTAGGCACTGCCAAGAGCATGGCCAAGGTGACCGTTAAAGGTGAGAACTTTAGCATGAATGAAGGTGAGACAACGTTTTGTTCTTACTTACATCTTACTACACTGCAGAAAGGTTTGAGCTAAGTTTTCTTTTAATTTTGAGATTTTATTTTATTTTTTTAATAAATTGAATCCAAAAATCACAATTTTACATTTTGTTCTCAAAACACACGGACAGTGGTTACATTGTGTTGTACCCTTGGAAGTCCACTCTGTCACTCAAGAGGAGTCACAGGAGATCAGAGCGCATATGCAAACAACTGGTACCAAACCAGCTGATACCATCCAAGGAGTTTACAAGCTTGTGGATTATTATCTTTATGTATTTATACAGTTCTACTGTGTTTTTCTACAGTCATTTGCAGCATTTAGGTTACTGCAAGGAATTCTTTGCTTTTGTGTTAAGTGGCGTTCATATCTTTGTCTGGTATATGTGTGTTTGAGGTATTGTCTGTACATCCACAAACTGTGAATGACATTCATGAGCATGCATTGGCGTTTCTGAGTGACCATTGCCCAAATTCATTGGATTATTCTCCTTTCATTTAAGAATTTAAATTTTTTTAGTGCAGTAAAGTTTGGGTTTTGCTCCTAGATTTTAATCCACTGTTCAGAATCAGCTGCACTGTTCCAAAGACTAATGTTGGACAACTGGAGCACCTCAACTCCATCCGCCGTCCTAGCTTCCCATTATTCATTCTTCTTTACAACCCAACAAAACTCAAAGTAATTTTCCATTTTGTTTTAGCCCTGCCTGCTACTTTTATTGAGAAGCTCAAAAACCAGGAGAAAAAAGAAGGGGAGAGTGTGACACTTCGCTGTGAGCTATCAAAACCTGCAGCTGTCGTTCAGTGGAAAAAAGACTCTGAAATTCTCAAACCAGGAGAGAAGTATGACATGAAGCAGGCAGAGGGCTCTTGTATACTTCAGATTCTGAATTTGAAGATAGAAGATAGTGGAGCGTATACATGCATATGCGGGGACGAGAAGACGTTTGCAGCCTTGAAAGTCACTGGTATGGATTCATGATGTTTTTTCCAGCATAGTTTTGGAAACATTTGTGTGCGAATTTTCAAAGAGACTATTCTGTGGCCTTGTTAAAACTGTTTGTATGACCTAATTGTGATGAGTAATGAAAACATGCTTGTGCAGCATTGCCACCAAACTTCACGCAGAAGCTGGAGAGCCAGCAGGCCGAGGAGGGAGCTGACATTA